ACCTCACCTCACTCTCCCCTCTCTCTCTCAACCCTTCCCTCCTCTCTCTCTCTCTCTTTCTCTCTCTCTCCTCTCTCTCTCTCTCTCTCTCTCTCTCTCTCTCTCTCTCTCTCTCTCTCTCTCTCTCTCTCTCTCTCTCTCTCTCTTCTCTTCTCTCTCTCTGTAGTCCCCGTCCCTCTCTCTCTCTTCCTCTCTCTCTCTCTCTCTCTCTCTCTCTCTCTCTCTCTCTCTCTCTCTCTCTCTCTCTCTCTCTCTCTCTCTCTCTCTCTCTCTCTCTCTCTCTCTCTTCCTCTCTCTCCTCTCCTCTCCTCTCTCGCCTCTCTCCTTCCTCTCCTCTCTCCTCTCTCTCTCTCTCTCTCTCTCTCTGTCTCTCTGTGTTTCCCTCCCTCCCTTTCTCTCTTGTGTTTTGTATTTTCTTCGCCACGTCGAAATCGCCTTTCTCATCACGTGGAAATGAAATCTTCCGACTTATCCCAAAACCTCCTCGTCAGCGATTCGTAGAGAGATAATTATGACGATTTCTCCGTAATCATCATAACTCTATCGTCACCACTTCCCGCGACTTCATTCTCATCACCACTACTTCCCGGCTTTTTCCTCATCACCGCTTGTTGACGATTTTCCTCATCATCATTCTCGTTTTCCTCGTCCTACCATTCCGGCGACTTCTTCCTCATCCCACATTCCGCTCATCACTTCATTCAACCGCTCTTCCTCATCACCACTTCCTGCGACTTTCTCTCTCTCCCTTCCCAACTCATCCTCATCACCCTCCTTCCATCACACCACTTCCTGCAGACACGCTCTCATCGCCAGCCGCTCATCCCTTATCACTCACTTCCTTCATCACCACTTTATTGACTCTTCCTCATTCACCACTATTGACCCTCTTCCTCATCACCAGCTCATCCTCATCACCACTCCCTCCTACACCTCCTCATCACCCACGGCTCCGGGCCTCTCCCACCGTCACCTTTTCTCAGCCGATAACGACACAACAGACCCATGTTATTAGGGAGTACCGCCCGCCCGCTATAACGTACGCGGCCTTTAAAGCTGAAGTCACTACCGGCGCATCGGGACCCGCCTCCGCTCGAATATCCGAACGCCGTTAAATTTGTACTTTGTCTCGATGCGTGCTTCTTTGGCTTCCCAAGGTCAATCAATCTTTCTTCCTGTCGCTTTTCCTCCTCTGTCGCTGCCTCGCCTTCTCGAGGTCGGTTCTATCTGGCTGAAGAAGAAGAGGAGAGGAAGGAGATAGGAGGAGAGGAGGAGAGGAGGAGGAGAAGAAGAGAGGAGGAGAAGGAGAAAGAGGAAAAGGAGGAGCAGACAGAGGAGGAGAGGGTGGGAGGAAGGAGAGAGAAGGAGACAAAGGGGAGAAGAGAGTTAGGAGGAGGAGAGGAAAAGAAGGAAGAATAGGAATAGGTAGTAGGAAGGAGGAGAGAAGGAGAAGGAAAAGAAGGGGAAGAGGAGACACTATGAGAAAAGGGGGAGCAGCAGGTAGGAGTAAAAGGTAGGCAAGAAGGAGAGAAGGGGACGAGGAAGAGGACGACGAGGGGAGGATGAGAAGGAGAGAAGGACGAAGAAGGAGATGAAGAGACGGATGCAGGAGAGGAGGAACGAGATGCAAGGAGGAACAGAAGAGGACATAAGAGGAAGAAGAAGACGCAGGAAAGGAAAAAATACGACCTAAAGATGCATGAAAGAGGAGGAGGAGGAGAGGGAAAAGGAACAGGAAAAGAGAAGGAAAGAATAAGAAGAGTAGGAGGAGGA